ATTCCGATCGAAAAAAAAAAAAAAAAAAAATATGGGCAGGTGCCCCTTTACAGTCCCCACACGTCTACGAAAAAAAAAAGTACCACCACCAGGCAAAAAATAAAAAAAAAACGGAGTTCCTGCTAAACGGTGGCCGGCCCGCGTTCATCGACCCCGTGAACGGTGAACGGGGGTACGGCACTGCTGCCCACTGAGCTACCACGTACTTGCTTACCAACTGACTGTCTCGAAGGTAAGACGCCAAGCATGCCACAGGCACTATCGTGGGGGCAATGGGAGTTGAACCAACGACCTCCTGAGTGCCGCTTGAACGTTTTACCAAGTGAATGGGAGTTGAACCAACGCCAAGCATGCCACATGCCTCAAATACATATATAATGACCGTACGCTGTATTCGGGGGAAGAAGGTAGTGGCGTTCCATGCATCCGGCGACCGCGTCTGTCCACGTGACTACAATCCTGACGGAATGTAGGGCAGCGCGCGCAGGCCCTGAGTGGAGTCCATCCTTTTTCGTGTTTTATTGGTGGCGTTCGCCTATAGGCGGACGCCTTCCAGAAATTCTCAGCGGCCGTTGGGCCCCTGAGGGGGTTTGGAATATAGTTTTCAACCAGCAATAGACGCGTCTCGGTTAGCCCTCACGGACTGCGTCATTGCCCCAAGCGCAAAGATGAAAAACCATTGGCCTGGATTTGTCTTTTGTACTCGAGATTCGAGTGACACCTCCAATAACCCATGGGGCAAATGGAAAGAATGGTTATGGGACTCGGTTGGGCATGAATATATCCGTGAAAATGGTAACCAAGGCGAAGTTTTCCCAAGTCGCGGAGTGCCTGGGAGTAGGGTATCATCCTTCGTTTTTTTTTTTTTTTTTTTCCTGGTAAATAGATAGTCATGGAGTGCGGCGGAATATCTGGATTCGAACACAGAGCTGTACTTTAGCAGTTCATTGAGTGTGGTGGATTCGAACACGGATCTGAATTTTAGCAGTTCATTGAGCAAGGCCCGTGGGTGAATGCCTGGGAGGAGGGTGTCTATCTATCGCCTGCATAAACGAATCTGCAAAACGAGAGTGAATCTGCCGATAGTCTATGAGAAAGATACACCGCCATGATTTTTGTCTAACGTGGAAAACGACTGTGAATCTTCCTCTAGAATATGGTACACTCAGTTGGTAAGGCTCGCAAGTGGCATTCAGGAGGTCGTGGGTTCAATTGGCCTCATGTACCTTCCTGGGCATGCTTGGCGCCCCCCACCTTGAGATAGACCACTGGATCCCCCGATTGGCATTAAGCAGAGTCTGCTGGTGTTCGTAGGGGGGGGGGACCACCACCTGAGGGGAGGCACAGGGATTGGTCCTGTTGGCATGGTCCCTGATGCTACCGGCTGTCCCCTAGCCGGTATCGCCCACCTGCAGGTCGGGAGCAGCCCCCGCATGTTCTCTCGTGAACATGGTTCTGGCTGCTACAGGGTTCCCCGTATGCCTACAATTAGGAGTAGTGGTAGGTAGGTAGTGGGTCTCGCTCCACTACTATACACTACAAAATTGTAAAGTTCGGCGTCGCTGCACTAACTATACACTATACACGTGAAAACTCCGTTGTATAGTTGTCAGAAATCTGCCGTGGATCGCACTCTACATTTGTGTATAGTTCCCAGCCTGCAAGTCGTTACTCGGATACTCCTCGAAGGGTGGTCGAAGGAGGCCGCCGTTCAAACACGAAATCGGATAGTCTGCCTGGAGTCTGGGCCGACAAACTGCTGTCTTGTAGTGCTCTTAGGGTGTTTTGTAGTGAACTCAGGAATTGGAGAGCTGTATAGCGGATAGTAAGTGGAGCGACGGCGCAGACTATACACGAAATCTCCGTTTTTTGGTACTCTGACAGCTATACACGAACTCTCCAAAATTCTGTATAGCGGACAGTGGTGGAGCGAGACCCAGTGTGAGGTGAAATTGAGAGAAGAATATAGCAAAAAAAAAAAAGAAAAGAAAGAAAGATACACCGCCATTATTTTTGTCTTCTGTGCATGTCGACAAAATGGTGGAGCCCCTGCAGTCCACCCAGTGTGTTGCAGTACCGTACTGTCCGTACCGTTGGTGGTGGACCCGCCTCTGTCTTGCTCCTCCAGTCTGGACCGGGTCCGGTACGGACCGTACGGAAAGATCCCGACCGGCTCCAGTTCAACAGCGCAGATTCTGTTCGTGAACACATAGGCCTGGCTTTCAGGGACAGCTGGTGGTCCCCACATTGCCCCAGTATACGTCAATGCCACGGTTCAATCATTGTGCATTGATCATAGTCCCTTGGGTGCTCGTGTGTGTGTGCTGGTGCGAGGTTGTGTCGGTCGTCCCTGTATTCAGCCGCCATCTCCATCCTCCACTTCACTCCTCACCCTGAGGCACGCACGTGCACATCGTGTGGGGACCACCGGCTTCTCCATTTCCATTTGTGGTGAATTCGTTATTGCTCCGACTGTTCAGGACTCAGGAGGACGACGAAGGGACAAAAAGGATCGAAGCGAAAGATTCCGGTGAGACTCGACCATCAGGCTTCAGCTGAGACGTGCCTTGGCTTCTCAATTCTATGCGGTGACGCCCTCTCTAGATCTCCGGTGCCAGATCGCAGCTGTCATTTTCCCACCTAAGAATAGCATCTGCTCGCCTATCTCCGGTCTTTTTTCTTTGTAACTTCGGCGCAGTCACAAAAAGCAGTCACGAAAACAGTTTGTAATTGCATTCGAAACTGCGTTTTAGCAGTTTAGTCAGGGCCCGAGTTTCAATTGCAGTTGAAACTCGGGCTGCCTTTCGGTAGCAGTTCAGTCAGGGCCCTCGTCTATCCACGAACAGCAGATTAAAAAAAAAAAAACATCGCTTATGCGCTGATTGCGGTCTGATACAGGATCCTACAGTACTTGCTGAAGCGAGGCAGTCAGCTGCCTCGCGTGGAATTCGCCCTGCCTGGCTGGCAGGGGGCTACAAGGACCTGACAACAACAAACAAAAAAGGAAAACGACCTGTTTCATGTTTCCTCACTTCCTGGCCAGATACATTCCTCAAAGCACTGGTGACCTGAGGGCCTTCCCGA